TTTAGTCAAATGCTTTTTCTGCATCAATTGATATGACTATGTAGTTTTTTTCTTTCAGTTTTTTTCTTTGATGTATCACGTTTTTTGATTTGTGGATATTGTACCATCCTTGCATCCCTGGGATAAACCCTACTTGGTCGTGGTGTATGATCTTTCTGATGTACTGCTGGATCCGATTTGCTAAGATTTTGTTGAGGATTTTGTCATCTATGTTCATGAGGGATATTGGCCTGTAATTCTCTTTCATTGTGTTGTCTTTACCTGGTTTTCGTATTAGGGTGATGCTGGCTTCATAGAGTGAGCTTGGAAGTGATCCATCTTCTTGAATTTTTTGTAGTAGTCTGAGGAGGATAGGTTTTAGTTCTTCCTTGAATGTTTGGTAAAACTCTCCTGTGAAGCCGTCTGGTCCTGGGCTTTTGTTTGCTGGGAGCTTTTGATGACTGCTTCAATTTCTTCCATAGTAATTGGCCTATTGAGATTTTTAGATTCCTCCTGAGTTGAAGCAGGGGGTCCCTCGGGGGTGTGGACGACGGAGCCCCAATGCGCTTGGGCGTCTGCATGCACGACTCCGGAGACCAGGTTCAATGACACAGATCTGTTTTATAGTGGAACTACAGGGGTATATATAGCATGAGGGGACCAGTTAGAGGGAGACACGTTGCTACAGGCGACCAGTGGCTGAAAGGCTGGGGTACTGTGCACGTGGCTCTAGGAGTTCATTCACGCGGGCGTTGCTACTTCCTGGTGTGCCGAGGAAGCATGTCATGGTGGAGTGTGCTCACACCATTGCATCAGCCGCAGCGCTGAGACATACTTCCCGAGCTCTACGTACATTGAGTGAGTTTTGGAATGTTGTATTTTTCTAGGAATTTGTCCATTTCCTCCAGGGTGTCTAGTTTGTTGGAGTAGAGTTGTCCATAGTATTTTTTAACAATCATTTGTATTTCTGTGGGGTCTGTTGGTATTTCGCCTCTATCATTTCTGATTTTGTTTATTTGGGTCCTCTCTCTTTGCTTCTTGGTGAGCCTGGCTAGAGGCTCATCAATCTTGTTTATCCTTTCAAAGAACCAGCTCTTTCTTTGGTTGATCTTTTGTATTGTTTTTTTGGTCTCTGTGTCATTTAATTCTGCTCTGATCTTTATTTTCTCCTTTCTGTTCACTCTGGGCTTTTCTTGTTGCTCTCTTTCTAGTTCTTTGAGATGTAGAGTTAGATGATTTACTACCATTTTTTCTTGTTTTTTGAGATAGGCCTCTAGAGCTATAAACTTCCCTCTCAAGACTGCTTTCATTATGTCGCATAGGTTTTGGATTGTTGTGTTTTCATTGTCATTAGTTTCCAGGATGTTTTTAATTTCTTCTTTGATCTCATTGGTAACCCAATCAATATTTATTAACATGCTATTCAGCTTCCAAGTGTTTGAGTATTTTGGGTTGTTTTTATTGTAGTTTTTTTCTAATATTATGCCATTGTGGTCTGGGGAGATGCTTGGTATGATTTCAATCTTCTTGAATTTGGGGAGACTTTGTTTGTGACCCAGTATGTGGTCTGTTTTTGAAAATGTCCCATGTGCACTTGAGAAGAACGTATATTCCGTGGCTTTGGGGTGAAATTTTCTGAAGATGTCAATTAAGTCCATCTGATCTAATGAGTCATTTAGGATTGCTGTTTCTTTGCCGATTTTTTGTCTAGAGGATTTATCCAGTGATGTCAGTGGTGTATGAAAGTCCCCTACTATGATTGTATTGTTGTCGATCTCTCCCTTGATATCTTCTAGGAGTTTTTTTTATGTATGTGGGTGCTCCTGCATTGGGTGCATATATGTTTATCAGGGTTATATCCTCTTCTTGTATTGATCCCTTTAGTCTTATGACGTGGCCTTCCTTATCTCTTGTTACGGCCTTCACTTTGAGGTCTGTTTTGTCCATTATAAGTATTGCTATCTCAGCTTTTTATTCATTTCCATTTGCTTGAAAGATATTTTTCCATCCCTTCAGTTTCAGTCTGTGTGAGTCCCTTATTCTGAGGTGGGTCTCTTGTAGACAGCAAATATATGGATCATGTTTTTTTATCCATTCAGCCACTCAATGTCTTTTGATTGGAGCATTTAGTCCATTTACATTTAAAGTTATTATTGAAAGGTACTTGTTTGTAGCCATTTCCATTTTTTGTGCGTGTTTTCTTTCTTAGCTTTTTATTTCTTCTTTTTACACCAGTCCCTTTAGCATTTCTTGCATTGCTGGCTTGGTGGTGATAAACTCCCTTCGCCTTTTTTTGTCTGTGAAGATTCTTATTTCCCCTTCAATTTTGAATGATAGCCTTGCTGGGTAGAGTATTCTTGGATTCAGTGCGTTGCTTTGCATCACTTTGTAAATTTCCGTCCATTCTTTTCTGGCCTGATGTGTTTCTGTTGAGAGATCATTTGATAATCTAATGGGAGATCCCTTGTATGTAACTTTCCGTCTCTCTCTTGCAGCCTTTAAGATTCTCTCCTTGTTCTGAACATTTGCCATGATAATTATGATGTGTCTTGATGTGGGTCTTTTCGGGTTCACCTTGTTTGGGATTCTCTGTTTTTGTGTGACGTTTTCCTTCCCCGCTTCAGGGAAGGTTTCTGATATTATTTCTTCGAATAGGTTTTCTAACCCTTGTTACTCTTTCTGTTGTTCTGGCAACCCTATTTTTCGTATGTTGTTTCGTTTCGTGTTGTCCCATAGCTCCCTTAGGCTCTCCACCTGTCTTTTAAATTTTTTCTCCAATTGCAGTTCAGTTTGGGTGCGTTTTGCTTCCTTGTCTTCTAATTCGCTAATTCGGTCCTCTGCTTCTCCTAGTCTACTGTTGAAACTTTCAATGGTGTTTTTTATTGCAGCTATATCATTCTTCATTTCTTCTTGGTTCTTACAGATTTTATTGATTTTTTCCATCCGTTTCTTTTTGAATCTTACATAAGTTGTTGATTTTTTTCATCCATTTCTTCTTGGTTTTTGAATAAGTTGATTTTTTCCTCCACCCGTTTTGTGCATTCTAGGACCTTTAATTGGAATTCTTTTTCTGTCATGGTGAATGCCTCTGTTTCACTTAGCTGCTTTTCTGGCAAGTTCTCCTTTTCTTTCCTTTGCAGGTTTCTTTGTTTACCCATGTTTGATCTCACCGACATATCTAGATGTTGAGTCGTTCAGAGGCTGCTCCTTGGGTGGCAGTGGCTTCCTGGGCTGTGGTTGCTCCTCGGGCGGTTGTGGTAGCAGCTGCTTCTCAGTTGGCAGCAGCTCCTCTGGTGGGTGCTGTTCACAGCCATGGTGGCTCCTTTGGTTGGTGGGGGGAGGCTTCACACACTGCTGCTGTTCCTCAGACAGAGGGTGTGCTGATCACGAGGCTGCTGTTCCTTGCATGGGGGTGGGCTACACACGCAGCTGCTGATTCTTGGATGGGGGCTGGCTGCACGCTGCTGTTATCCCTCTGATGTGGTGGGCTGCTTGTGGGGCTTCTGCTCCTAGGACTTGGACAGGTTGATTGCAAGTCTGTTGCTCCTCGGACGGGGGTTTGCTGCTTGCGAGGCTGCTGCTCTTTGGACGGGAGTGAGCTGCACGCGTGGCTGCTTCTCCTCGGACGGGGATGTGCCACTCACCCGGCTGCTGCTCGTCGGACAGGTGCAGGCTGTGTGTGGCTCTGCTCCTCGGACCAGTGCGTGCTGCACAGGCCTGCCGCTCCTCGGACGTGGGCGGTCTGCTCGTGTGGCTGCTGCTCCTCGGACCGGGGTGGGTTGCTGCTGCTCCTTGAATGGGGCGGGGCCGCTCGCAGAACTGCTGCTCCTTGGATTGGGCAGGCTGCTCGTGCAGCTGCTGCTCCTCGGACTAGTGCAGGGTGAGGGCTGTGCACAGCTGATGCTCCTCAGATCGGGGTGGGCTGCGCAGGGCTGCCACTCCTCAGACGTAGGAAGACTGCTCGTGCAGCTGCTGCTCCTCCAACAGGTCGGACTGCTTGCGTGGTTGCTCCTCCTTGGACGGGGAAGCGGGCCGCTCACACAGCTGCTGCTCCTTGGACAGGGGCAGGCCACATGAGGCTGCTGCTCTTAGGCTCGAGGCAAGCTGCTCACGTGGTTGAAAAAATAATGTGAAAAGAAGTAGGAAATAAAGGAACAAACAAAAAATAGGAGAACAAAGAAAAAATCAAAAAAAAATAAAAAGCTAACAGAATAATAATAAAATATGAAAAATTGAAATGTCATTCCTTTGGCTGGCTTAAGATCCCAGTTTTCTGGAACGTCTGTGATTTTGTTGTTGTTGTTGTCATTGCTGAGACTGAAACACGATGTGTCTTATTGTGGGGTTCTTTGGGTTCATCTTGATTGGAACTCTTGTGCTTCCTGCACTTATGGGTCTTTTTCCTTCATCAGGGTATGGACGTTGGTATATTTGTTCCGTTTGTTTGTCTGTTGCTATGTTTTGTGCACGGTGTCGTCCTTTTTGTATCTGATTTCCTTTGATTAGGTACCATTCATTATATTTGAAAAAAGTATATGTGTGGTTGGTTTGAAGTCTAGATGATAGCCTTTTCAGCAGTAGCTTTAGATTTTTCCCTGTTAGACAGAAGGAGGTTACCAGTCTGGAGTCACTATAATCCACATTTAAGGCTATTGTTTCCTGGACTTCCTCAGTGACATAAAACTGGGCTGCAGGTCCAACTGGGGTTTGTGTAACCATTTGTGGTACCTGCTTAAAATTGTTGAGGGGGTAGCTAAATAACAGTTTATTTTTTTACTGCAGGTTCTTTTATAACAAAAGTAACCAAGTGACTGAAGTGCCTTTTGGGGCTCTTATTTAGGTTTCTGCCTCACTATCTTGTTAACTTTATATACTTTTAGATACTTTTAAAATTTCATCTATACTTAAAAATTATTCATTACATGGTTCCATCTTACTTACCTAGCCTGCCATTAAGAGAAGCAGAAAATTTCCTTTAATTTGCTTTTGAATTTACCTTGATGTTTGTTTGCTTTTTGTAGGTTCTACATGAAACATTTCCTCAACACACATTCCTCATGAATGGTCTCATTCAAGGTGTAAAGGTAAGAATAATTGTGAATGAAGCCAGGAATTCTTAGTAGTTTAACTCTGGAAGTTTAGATGGGATTTAGGAAAACAGTTATTATTTGTTTTGTAGACCTAAATTTAAGTTTTTAGCTGGATTATCAAAGTCAAAATAAAATACAATCCAAATCAGTAAGGCAGAAAATGATTTACTGGTAAATGAAAGACTGTTTTTATTAACATGTACACTGCAGTTTATAGAGGATTCATTTTGTGAGCTTTTGATTTCTCTACCTATCAACAGAATATAATGATCAAGTGTTACTGTCTTCTTTTAAGAAATACTTTTAGACTGAGGAAGAAGAATCAAGATTTAGTTGGGTATATAGACTTTTGTCAAGGCTGGTAGTTGACAGTATTGCAGGTGTCCCTCATTTCCCCCTCTCAACTACTCTCCACCTGAGGCCTTCCCCACCCTATTGTCTGTGTCCGTGGGTTATGCGTATATGCCTATATATTCTTTGATTAATCTCTAACCGTCCCCTCCAACCTCTTTCCGTCTGAGATCTGTCAGTCTGTTCCATGCTTCCATGCCTCTGGACCTATTTTGTTTGGCAATTTATTTTGTTCATTAGATTCCACATATGAGATCATGTGATATTTGTCTTTCTCTAAGTGGCTTATTTTGTTCAGCATAATAATCTCCAGGTCCTAGCCACACTTTTTGAGTTCTCAGCCTCTTAACATAATTAGCCTTACTTTATTGTTTAAATTTTAATGTGCTATTAGAACAGCTTATAAATATTTTTCATTTAAATAAAATGATAATGTTATAATCCAGTTCCACTTTATAGTAAAGTATATGAATATAGTGTCTAATTTGTCTTTCCCATCTTAGATCATATAAATCTGTGCATAATTTTACTTTGTACTGAACTGCACACTTAAAATTAAAGTTATGCCTTAATAATTTGCTGAATTCGTGCACTAGGGAGGAGGGTGTCCCTCAGCCAGCCTGCGCCCTCTCACAGTTCGGGACCCCGAGGGGTCCTTAGTGCTGCCCCCGAGCTAGGAGAGACTCCTGCCACTGCCGCAGCACTCGCAGCCATGAGCCTGGCTTCTGGCAGTGACCACCAGGGGGCAGCTCCTGCATTGAGCATCTGCCCCCTGGTAGTCAGTGTGCGTCATAGCAACTGGTTGTTCCGCCATTCGGTCAATTTCCATAGGGTCTTATGTAGGACTATAGGCCCAGTGCACAAAATTAGTGCGGGGGGTGGGGCAGCAGGGAGCGGTGTCCCTCAGCCTGGCCTGCACCCTCTCCAATCTGGGACTCCTCGGGGGATGTCCAACTGCCAGTTTAGGCCAGATCCCTAAATCGGCAGTCGGACATCCCTCTCACAATCCAGGACTGCTGGCTCCTAACCACTTGCCTGCCGGATCGCCCCCTAATTGCTCCCCTGCTAGCCTGATCACCCCCTAATCGCTCCCCTGCTGGCCTGATTGCCCCCTAATCGCTCCCCTGCCAGCCCAATCACCCCCAACTGCCCTCCCCTGCCAGCCCAATTGCCCCCAACTGCACTTCTCTGCCGGCCCGGTCGCCCCCAACTGCCCTCTCCTGCCAGCCATCTTGTGATGATGTGAGGGTGTCACACGAGGGCCACCTAGGCTTTTATTAGTATAGATCAGTGGTTCTCAACCTTCCTAATGCCACTACCCTTTAATACAGTTCCTCATGTTGTGGTGACCCCCAACCATAAAATTATTTTCGTTGCTACTTCATAACTGTAATTTTGCTACTGTAAACAATATGTAATTATATATGTGTTTTCCGATGGTCTTAGGCTACCCCTGTGAAAGGGTCGTTCGACCCCCAAAGGGGTCACGACCCACAGGTTGAGAACCTCTGGTATAGATAAGTTGCAAGACTGCCATTCTCTGGAGCATTATCTCAATCTGTCTAGATTTTGCTTCCTGGCACTTGTTAACAGCTTGGCTCAAATGAACTCAAAAAAATTCTTCAGAGGTTTGAATGTTTCTTACATTGACATTTACTTGACACAGAGGGTAGGTTTCCATATTCAGCTGGGACCACCCCTCGGACCAGGACCTGGTACTAGGATCCAGGAAAGGGCCCATTGAGCCCACCGATTCTCACCACATCGGGTGGACTGGGTGAATTGTTCCTTGTATCCAGGACCTCCCCCACTTGTGGTAAAGACTCTAACTTTATTTAAACTGCACTTTTAAATCCTGAAAATTAAAGTAAGGTTAAGGGTTAACAGAACTCATGCTATGGTGAGAGAGGAGGAAAAATGGATGGCTAGTTTTTAATTTTGGCTTTTCAATTGGAATTGCTTTCTTGAGAGTCTGAACAAAAACCTTTCCCGTATAAGTGAGAGCTGAACTTGTTCAGTTCCAAAGATAAAGGACACGTCCTCCCTCCAGCCAAATCTTGGTTGTTCTTAAGCGATTAAAAATCTTTGTAATGTGTCAGAGGTCATTCCTCATGACATACAGCAGCTCCATAGTGAAATTTCAACTCAACTCTTATTAAACCATTGACTCATCTGGGGACACGTGCATACAGGTTAGTCACTTAACACTCCAAGTTCTCATGGCTGTATAAACAGTTGTGGCAAGAAACCGCAGCACCTAGAGGGTGAAAGCCTCATAGGACTCGACCCATAAGCAACACACCTTGACCCACTACAGAGCATCCCTACAAAATTTCATGAGACTCTGCAAATATATTTAAAAAAAAAAAACACCACTGCCCGGCCTGCATGGCTCAGTGGTTGAGCATTGACCTATGAACCAGGTCACAGTTCGATTCCTGGTCAGGACACATGCCCGGGTTGCAGGCTTGATCCCCCAGTGTGAGGTGTCTAGGAGGCAGCTGATCAGTGATTCTCTCTCATCATTGATGTTTCCATCTCTCTCTCCCTCTCCCTTCCTCTCTGAAATCAATAAAAAATATTTTTTTAAAAAATAAAAACACAAAATTTAACATGAAAAATTAGGCCTCCAAGGCTGGAGACTCTCAGATCCCAGCCCTCATTAGTACTCTGATAAGAAACCTTTTACTTACAATAAATAATACCTCTTTCACCTGGGAGGATTACAAATTTACTTAGGCAGTAATACCCCAGAATATACAAAATTTCCCCCCTATTGTATTAGATAGTAAAAGCTGATTTAAATAATATTAAATTTCCTAATAATTCCACTGCAATCCAATATGTAGATGATTTAATCTTATATTCTAAAAAATTACTAGGCTCCCAAAAAGGCACAGTATATCTATTACAACAGCTAGCCGTAAAAGGACAAGAATATCATAGAACAAGCTCTTACTCTGTTTACCCTTGGTAAAATACTTTGGTAATCTAATATCTAAAGATGGGCTATTAATTAACCCTAAAAAACTCAGGTAAATCCTATCTTTTCCTCTTCCAAGAAAACTAGCTTAGAGGATTCCTAGTTTGACTGAATATTGTCACACAAAAAATGGGGTTCAAAATTTTTCATTAATGGCCCAGCCTTTATGTCTTATTAAAATCAATTTAACCTGATCCAATTCAGTGGAACTCAGAAGGAAAACAAGTTATAAAATTTCTAAAAAAGAATCTAGAACTTCCACTCTGGTGCACCTTAATTATAAAAATTTTAACTCAAAAATAAAATCATCATAGACCTATGATCTATTACAGTCAACAACTAAAGTCAATAGCCAGAAAGCCTCCTCCCTCCATGACAGCCGTTTCTGCTATAGACAGTATACAAAAACGCAGCAACAAAGCTATGGACTCGCCTTTGTTAATGTTCCTCATTCTATTAAGCAGGGGTTCTCAACCTTCCTAATGCCGCGACCCTTTAATACAGTTCCTCATGTTGTGGTGACCCCCAACCATAAAATTATTTTTGTTGCTACTTCATAACTGTCATGTTGCTGCTGTTATGAGTCGTAGTGTAAATATCTGATGTGCAGGATGGATTTTCATTGTTCGCGACCCACAGGGTGAGAGCCGCTGCTAAGTCTCCGCCAAACTCTAATCGCATTCAGCACTTCTGTCAGCACACTGGCTCTTGCCTTCTTCACCCAATTTCACTTAAACTTAATATAAGGGTCTTAACCCAACAACTTTGCTCCTTTATTTACTGAATAAACACATGCACAATTGAATTCTGCTTATTGACCACATTCTTATTCCTAGAAATGGTTTATAGGAAACTCCTTCATCTAATACTGAGTTAATTTGGTTTGTAAATGAATCTTTAAAGAATAAACAGGAATGTTACCAAACTGAATATACAATAACCTACACAGTAAACATAATTGAAGATTCTTATTTATCTAAATAAAATCTACCCAACACGCCTAATTGCTAATTCAGGCCTATCAGTTGGTTAAAAATAAAATCTGTTTAACTTACTTAAACTATTCCTTTCTAAATTAATAAATTTTATAAAAGTTATTAAGTATGTAGATATTTTAAAATAACTTAAATACTAAAACATTGGTTGCTAGACAAGTCTTGGGTTCACCTGCTTTTGGCTTTTTTACAAAGAGGCTGGGAATGAACTTGGAACTCTTAATAAATGTCTAGTGCTTGGTTAAAGTTGTATTTCATGAAAGTGTGTTTGCCAATAGAAAAACCTGTATTTCTAAAGGTTATGAAATATGTTCATAAAAGTCAGTCTAGGGCAGTGATGGCGAACCTTTTGAGCTCGGCGTGTCAGCATTTTGAAAAACCCTAACTTAACTCTGGTGCCGAGTCACATACAGCAATTTTTTGATATTTGCAACCATAATAAAACAAAGATTTATGTTTTTAATATTTATTTTATATATGTAAATGCAATTTAACAAAGAAAAATCAACCAAAAAAAATGAGTTCGCGTGTCACCTCTGACATGCGTGTCATAGGTTCGCCATCACTGGTCTAGGTAATACTGATTGCTTACTTTTTTGGTTATCTCTAAAAAGTAAGGGTTCCAAAAGTTAGACATTCTAACTAAGTTAAAATGTATATAATTT